TTAAAAAAGATATATTTATTTTATATATGTGACTACACTACTGCTCTCTTCAGACACACCTCTTCAGAAGAGGGCATCAGATCCCATTACAGATGGTTTTGCTAAAAGTGCTGTGGAAGTCTAGGAATGACATGCTTTGCCCCAATGAAAACAGAGTTAGTCATCATTTCAGGGACTTTTAATTGCAAATTTTCTACTTTTTAGATGTTAAACCACCATGTGGTTGCTGGGAATTGAACTCAGGACCTGTGGATGAGCAATCAGTGGTTTTGTTTTTGTTTTTTGTTTGTTTGTTTATAGATTTATTTACTTGTTATGTATACAGCATTCTGCCTGCATGTAAGCCTAAAGTCCAGAAGAGGGCACCAGATCTCATTACAGATGGTTGTGAGACATCATGTGGGTTGGTGGGAATTGAACTCAGGACCTCTGGAAGATCAGACAGCACTCTTAACCCCTGAGCCATCTCTCCAGCCCCAAGCCTCCATGTCTTTATTTGTGGAATGGACTTGGTGACCACTTCTGGTCGAAGTGAAGTGTCTGGCCAAACTGGACATGGTGGCCCATGCCTACAATTCCAGTCCCGGGGTGGGGGTGGGGGGATAGTGAGAGGGGTGAGGCAAAAGGATTGAGAATTTAGGCCAGCTTGGAGTACATGCAGGGTTTTGGCTTGTGGTTGCTGGGATGTGTTAATCTGCCACTGCTGTTACTGTCTTACCTCTTAGTTAGAACTGTGGCTAATTTAATTCCTCCTACTTTGGCATTGTGGTCACAGAACCCTTTTTTTTTTTTTAAGCTGATTTATTTTTATTTTTAATCTTGTATATGTACGTGAGTATGTGTAAGTTCGAGTGGCCCCAGAGACGCTTCATCCTCTGAGCTGGAGTAGGCAGGTGTGAGCTGCCAGATGTTGGTGCTGCTGACTCGGATCCTCGGCAAGAGCAGTGCGAGCTCTTGACCACTGAGCCACCCTTCCTCCTCTTAGTGTAATTACTGTTTGGCATTTTTAACCCATTGTCTGTCTGGGGTTTTGTTGTTATTTTGTTTTGTTTTTGTTTTTTGAGATATCTTCCTGTGTAGCTTTGGCTTCCTGGAATTCGCAGTGTTTCAGTGCTGATCTTAAACTCACAGAGATCCTCCTGCCTCTGTGTTCTCAGTGCTAAGATCAAAGGTATACACTACTATACACAACGCTTAACCCGTTGTCATACTTAATTCATTCTCTCCAGGTTAAATTGGGAATGTAAATAAACAATTTTTTTCTGGTCTTGTTTTTTGGTCTTTGGCTTGGTTCGTGGTTGGTTTGTGGCTGGAAGTAGGTCTCACTGTCTCAGACTCTTGGGCATCCCTGTGCCCAGACTACAGGGACGTACCACTGAGTCCTAGCATACTTTCCATGTTTTATTACATACACCACCCAAGTGCTAGGTTCACAGGTGTGCAGTGCTGCGCCTGTGTTGTGTGGGGTGCTGGGGTCAAACCCAGGATTTTGATCATGCTAACCAATTGAGCCACATTCCCAGACCCTTGACATGTCTTTTAAAGATACTGTTAGCTGGGTATGGTGCTAACACCTGGTAAGACCAAGGGAGGAGAATCATCACATGTTTGAGGAACATGTTGCTTCTAGATTTTAAACATTATAAACAGTGATGAAATTCTTAGGAAAAATTGTTTTATTTGCCCTTCTGTTTAAAGTGTTTAGCACTCGGGTCCTGGTATGGACTTCACTGTGATTTAGTCCCATGGGACTATTCTGAAGATGGCCTTTTAAAAGCCCAGGTGGGAACCTCCGAGGTGTGTCTTCACATTCTGGATGGAACTACTCAGTGGGAGAACAGGTGGAGCAAGCTACCCAGGGACTCTGGTCCAGGATCTACTGCCCACAGTTCAGCGTTCAAGTCAGGCTTTAATAAACGGAAAAGCTTATTTCCTGATTCACATGCACCACATCTCAGGTGCTTAGCAGATATGGTTCATGACAGCTGTTGTGGATAATTCAGAGATAGGATATTTTTATCTCTGCAAAATGTTTGGTTGCGAAGCACAACTGTAGACTATCCCAGGAAGTGGGCAGGAAGAACCTACAGTCTGAAAGGCTTTCTTCTTTTACGGTGCTGGGAATAGATTTAAGGCCTTGGGCTTGCTAGGTCAGTGGTCTACCCCTGTGCCACATCTCTCTGGCAGACACTTTGTCTGTAAAGCTTTACTGGAGCATAGTCATGCTCATTTGTGGTGGTTATCTTTGGCTACTTGGAACACAGCCACAGAGCTGTGCTGATCTGACACATTTGCCATAAGATGCAAAATATTTACTCCAACCTTCTATGAAAAGTTTTGATTAATCTTTTTATGTCTTATGTGGGTTTTCTCAAACTTGCAACAAATACCGTTTTGGACCAGATAATTCTTTGTTGTAGGTGCATCCTTTTTTTTAAATGTTCATTCGGTGCTTGTTTTAAATGTATGTCTGTGTGAGAGTGTTGGATCCTCTAGAACTGAAGTTAACAGACAGTTCTGAGCTGCCATGTGGGTTCTGGGAATTGAACCCAGGTTATCTGGAAGAGCAGCCAACACTCTACGTCTCTGAGCCGCCTCTCCAGCTCCTACAGTAACATTTCATCACATCTCTGGTTCACATCCAGTAGGTATCAGTAGCAGCCCTCCTGTTGTGATGGCCACAGTGTTTCCATATACTTCTTGATTCCCTCCCTGGGGGTCCACAGGTAATGAGGCTAGTAGGTAAAGTGTCCACCAGTAACAGTACATAGGCAGTCGTAAAAATAGACCAAATCCAGTAAGAACAAGAGAATAAAGTGGGGGAGGGATTGTTACTTCAGTGTTCCCTCTAGCGATCAGATTGTTTTTATGACGGTAGTTGAAGTAGGAAGAGGGCTGAGGTTTTTACTTCACAAACAGGCACTGAGGATGAAATCACATACCTGTCTTAGTTATTTATAACTGGGTTGTGTAGATTTCTGCCCTTGTCGTGAATAATTGAACTTCATTATATCTATATCCAGTAGAAGTTAATACCAATCCATTCTTACAATCTCAACATTCAGGAGGATCATGAGTTCAAAGCCAGCTGAGCTACTTAGATGTTGCCAAGAAGCTAGGGGAGGAGAATATTAAATATCAAGCAAGTTCTATAAAAGTCTTCCATTTTCTTTTCTCCCCTTCCAAAATAAGATTTTGATAAGTCGCCCAGGCTGACCTGGAATTCACTAGGTAACTTTCAACCTCATGAATGCTGGGATTGCCTGTGATCCTGGGCCGTGGGCCATGGAGCAGGAGTACAAGGGTGTCCTCCAGCCCATGTCAAGTTTGAGGCAGCATAATCTATGGGAGACAGACCCTGCATCACAAACAGCAAATAATACACAGTAGAGGGTTCTGAAAATTGTAAAAGTTGGCTATTTTAAGGAATCATCATTCATGGGGTTGGATGTGAACTCAGTGGGTAAGAACTCTGGCTGCTTTTCCAGAGAACCAAGGTTCAGTTCCCAGCACCTATACATAACTCCAGTTCCAGTGGGATCTGATGCCACTTCCAGCAGCTGTAGACCCTGCACACGTGGTACACAGATGTACAGGCAGGCATAAAACATACGTAAAACAAAAATTTTTACAGGAAATCATCTAGTTAATAGGGGGTTTCTACTCCACCCTGGATCATTCAGTTCCCAGATAAAAGACACAAAACTTTTATATTTATAATAAGCCTTAAAGCCTTAGAGCTGGACAGGTATTGGCCCTCTGTGCTGTTTTGTCTCCTTCCTGTCAATAACCCTGAATTTTAATTTGCCATGTTCTGGCTGGGCTATTCTTCAGTTGACCAACCCTCGTGGTGTCTCTGTGTGTTTGTGTCTCTGTTTCTGTCCCTCTCACCTTCCCCCCCCCCTCTCTCTTCCTCCCTCCCTGCTTCAGAGAACTAAAACTCCATCTAGCTCTTTTCTGCCCAGCTATAAGCTATAGGTTGTAGGCATCTCTATTGACCAATCAGGGACAACTTGGTGGGGCAAGGTTACATAGCATCACTTGGAGTACATGAGGATCTCCTCATCCCTGAGGCAACCTGGACCAGTATTTAGCATTATAATACATAGCAACACACCAACCCTCAACATTGGCGAGATGGCTTAGTGTGGGTAAGCTGTTTGCCATGCACTCTGCCTTCCCAAGTTGAGTTTCCTGAACCCATGTAAAGGTGGAGGAAAGCCAGCTCCACAGAGTTGCCTGCCTCCAGTACACACACCACAGCAGATGCTCCCTCAGTGCTCATGCATTCACACAAGAATAAGATGCTTTAGGAAGGAATTACAGGCCAGGCAGTGGTGGTGCACGCCTTTAATCCCAGCACTTGGGAGGCAGAGGCAGGTGGATTTCTGAGTTCCAGGACAGCCAGGGCTACATAGAGAAACCCTGTCTCGAAAAAGAGGAATTACAGTAGCTTGGGGTGGAATAGATTATTGGGATGTAATGTGTAATAATAGTGTTTTTTTCTCAGTTTGGGAAATGGAGTGAATTTAAATCAGGAAAATGGGGCTGTGGTCATACATAAGATCCTGGATTTGAACTCTTAACAATGCAAAAAAAGGAGGGAGGTGGATAAAGGTTGAGGAAATTGCTCTTCAGAGAGAATGTTCTGCATATGCTCATGTGGCTGCTTAAGTTTAAATTTAAGTACAGTTGGTGTTAGTGTGTTATTGTGGAACATACCTCTGTGGAAAGTCATCTCCACCATAGCTTAGTGTGTAAGCAGCTGAGCAAGAGTGGGAGAGGGGTTCTGTGGTTAAGAGTGCTTGCTGCTCTGGTAGGGGACCTGCCTGTAGTTCCTAGCACCCTTTGGCCACATGACGCACATACAGTAATGCAGCCTAAAATACAGTGATGTAAATAAAATGTTTTTAGAGAGCGTATTCTTGACTACTGAATTGTAGTTACATGAGATTGCATGGTCCCATGCATGAAGTGGGTTGTTTGTTTGTTTGTTTCAGATCTTACCAATATATTTGAGTCCTTTCTGCCCCAGTTGCTGGCCTATCCTAACCCCATAGATCCTCTCAATGGTGATGCTGCAGCCATGTACCTCCATCGACCAGAAGAATACAAGCAGAAAATTAAAGGTAAGAGGCTTATACTTTTAGTTGGCCATTTAGGGTTTTGTTTTTGTTTTTGTTTTATTGAGATGAGGTTTCTCTGAGTAGCCTTAGCTGTCCAGGAACTCAAGAGATCTTCCTGCCTCTGGTTCCTCAGTGCTGGGAGTTAAAGGCATGCACCACCACTGAGTCAAAGCCTCCTTTTTTTTTTTTTTTTTTTTTTTCCTCCTTTGGTTTTCTTGAGATAGGGTTTCTCTGTGTAGCCTTGGCTGTCTGGCTATCCTGGAATTCACTCTGTAGACCAGGCTGGACTCAAGTCAAAGCCTCCTTAAGAGACTCTGTTCCTTGTAGGTTTTCTCTAGTCTGAGAACAGACTGCAGTGGCCTGGCCTCACTGCCCCCTCTTAGGGTTTCGAGCCTGTGTTCCCCCACTTCCCACTTAGGACTGGGAAAGGACACCTGAAGCTTACGTTGAATCAGCTTACCTTTCCTTTCTCTTCAGTGTATTTTCTGGGTGGGCTAGAGCCACCTCCCCTGCCTGTGAAAAAGTTCAGGTGCATAAAGCATCCCACAGAAGCCTGAGACTGGGCTGTGGCCGTGTCTGCTCCTTGTGCGCAGATGCAGGCCCTGGGTTGCACTGGGTTCCCTTGTGTTGAGTAGTGATGTGCTCATCGCGCGGGATGCAGAGCGTCGGGAGCCTCCGTGTGCTCAGAGTCCACTTGCCCACAGCAGCAGTAAAGGAGTGGTAGGAGTGTACGTAGGCTTCCTGTTGAGCTGTGCAAGGCTTAAGGCAGACAGCAACACTGGGGACCGTGTGTTGAACAGTAGTTTCCTTCTGTTTGTTCTCTCCTATCCCCAGGTCTCTATGGAGTATTTTTGTTTAAATAAAGTAGAAATTTTCATTTTTATAGGTCTCAAGTACTTTGCAAATTAATAACCTAATTTAATATAGCACAGTAATGCACATAGCCAAAAAACCATATAGTCGAAGAAAAATGCAATTTCAACCAGATAACATTTTGTTGGGAAACTATGCTAAAATTTTGACATTGCCTTCACTTACTAATGTCTGTAAACTATGTTTGTTTTTTTTTTTTTTGGTTTTGTTTTTTTTTTGTTTTTGGTTTTGTTTTTTTTTTGTGACAGGGTTTCTCTCTGTAGCCCTAGCTGTCCTGGAACTCACTCTGTAGACCAGGCTGGCCTCAGAAATCCGCCTGCCTCTGCCTCCCAAGTGCTGGGATTAAAGGCCTGTGCCACCACCACCCGGCAACTATGGGTATCTTAATACATAAAATACTTACATAGTTCTAACACCCATTATGCCTTAGCAATATAGTATTACCCTGACTATACTACAGGTTTCCTCTGGTCCTGCTTACCAAAGAAACCAGACCTGTGTTCATCTTAGGGTAGCTAGCTCCTTCTGTCTCAGGACCCCTAACTTTCTGTGGTATCCATACTGAGGCTCAGTTTGTGATTGTTGGTAGTCTGAGATAGCTGTAGCTGTTCAGCTCGAACTGAGCCCTGCTTTCTGTTGTACTTTTGTATACTAACTCCATCTTTCCTATGCCATTCAGGAAATGAGGTCCCTGCCTTATTTCTCAAAGTCACCAACTTGTTCATTTGCTCCCCTTGCTCCTGGGATCCGTTTCTGAAACGGTTGTCTGCTCCTGCGCCCTCTGGGGACTCAGACTTCTGCTTCCTGCCCTGAAACACAGCACTGTTTCCCTTCTTGCTTCCTCCTCCTCTGTGAACGCTTCTCAGGCCCCATCCCTGGACCTCACTAAGCTCTGGTGTTTCCTTCCACTCTGAATGGATCTCATTCCAAGTCCAGAATGGAATCATTCTCTGATGACCAATTTATGCTTTTACCCCAACTCTGCCCTGAGTTCCTTATTCATGGCTTTAGGTAGCCCTCTAGGTATGTGAACTAAGAGTGGTATGTCTAGGCCTGACCCTTCTCCCAGGTTAACTTTGCAGTGGTAGTCACAGCTTAGCATAGCTCCCCTAGTTGTTAGTTAGCATTTAGATCTACGTGATGCTGTTTAGGAATGCAGGTGTGGCTCGCAGGGGTTGCTAGAGAGTCGGTCTCAACAGCTAAGGATGCACATTACTCCTCCAGAGTGACTGTGTCACTGTTCCATCACTGTAAGGAAAGGCCAGTGCCATAACTCCTCCAATAAGGCCATGTTGCCGGAAATATTAAAAAAGATCGGCATGTTCCCACGCTCTGCCCAGGACCAGTGGAGTATTTTCATCTCTCTGGCAAGGAGCTCCCAAAATCTCTCCACCCAGCTCGCTAAGTTCCCACTGGTGGGTCACTACCACACCTCCCCATGCTTCAAAACCCCCACGGCCTTTGTGGTGCACGTCAGGCAAACCCACGCTTTGCCACTGTACCTTTCTCTCTGGAACCCGATCAAGCAGCCGCACACACACTTAGTTCAGAAACAATGGGTAATGCTGGGCAGTGGTGGCACACACCTTTAATCCCAGCACTTGGGAGGCAGAGGCAGGCGGATTTCTGAGTTTGAGTCCAGCCTGGTCTACAGAGTGAGTTCCAGGACAGCGAGGGCTACAGAGAGAAACCCTGTCTCGAAAAACCAAAAAAAAAAAAAAAAAAAGAAAGAAAGAAAAAGAAAGACAAAGAAAGAAACAATGGTAACTCAGTTTCTGGGCACAGCAACTAGAATGCTGCTCTTGTGAGCCATATTAAATCTAAATCCTCTGGTGGTGAGTCCTGGTGGATTCGCCATACAAGCCAGGAGACAGTGGCAGCTGCATCTTGCCCTATCACTATCTTGCCCAGAAAGGACCCTCTCTCTCTCCTGCTTCCTCTCTTCCCCATCTAACTCGAAAGAGCCCCCCCCCCCAACTCGCCCAGTGATTGGCTCCTTTATTCATTAGGGGATGGTTCACAAGTCACCTGAGTACACAGCCCTCCCCGGAGAGCAGAATTAACATCAAAATACAAAGAATACAGGGCCATCCACAACAAGGCCACACCTTCTGATCCTTCCCAGTTTTGATGGGGGGGGGGGAGTATTCAAATAGATGAGCCTGTGGGGGACACTCTAATTCAATGCACCACACAGATGATTTGAGTTCAGTTCTCAGCACTCATGCCTACAGGTCACTTCTGCCTGGAATTTCAGCTTTAGAGGATCCAATGTCTCTGGTCTCCTAGGGTACCACACACACACACACCCATATCCACATCAATAAATATAAAAGTGAATATTTTTTTAAATGCGGGTGTAAAGACAAGGTTGAGTGCTAAGCAGCCTGTGGGTGGACATGATGGGGACCCTGGCACTGTCCAAAGACAGGTAACTTCCTGCTCAAAACCTTTGCTAGTAAACCAGCCAGCTTTCAGGAGGTAGAGGCAGGCACATCTCCAGTTAGAGGATGGCCAGGGCTGCATAGAGACCCTGTTGTAGCCAGTCTTTGCTACTTTGTATGTTCTTCTTTTTCACAGGTAACTCCCCTGTAGATAGAGAAAGAAGGATAGGAGAGAGGGGGAGGGAGAGAGAATCGATCCTTGAATCTAATTTCTGTTTTTTTGACCTACAATTACTAACAAAATGCAACCAACCCACTGAACAACCAACAACCTCCAGTTGGGGCTCTAACATTTATATACTCTCCAAAAGTTCCCAGAATTCCAACATCACACAATTGCAGAAACTGGGAAAACCATGCCTCTGTTAGAGCACGAGGTAAATTGCAGCTGCTGCAGTCAGTTTGAAGCAGCCCCACATCCCCAAACCAGGGATTAAAAAAAAAAGACTATGCACATACGTACGTACGTATGTACGTACGTACATATACACACACATACATACGTACATACACATACATACGTACATACATACATACATACATACATGCATACATATTGTTGTTCTGTTCTGTTTTTTCGAGACAGGGTTTCTCTGTGTAGTTCTGGCTGTCCTGGAACTCACTCTGTAGACCAGGCTGGCCTCAAACTCAGAAATCCACCTGCCTCTGCCTCCCAAGTGCTGGGATTAAAGGCGTGTGCCACCACTGCCTGGCTAAAAAGTACATTTTTAACCAGGTAGTATATGCCTATAATCTCTGCATTTGAGAATGGTGGAAGAAGCAAAAAGGTCAGAAGTTCTGATCATCCTTTGCCTCAAGTTAGAACCAGTCATGAGTACATGAGCTCCTGTCTAAAAAGAAAAAATCTCAAGTATGTTTGTTACGGTTTAAGGGCTTTGAGTCTCAGGTCTCAAAGCTTTGTTCAGAAAGTTTGTCTGAGTGTGGTGGTGCAAGTCTGTCCTCTCTCAACGCTTGCATACAAAATGGCAAGTTAAGTGAGTACACTGTCCCTGTCCTCAGACACACCAGAAGAGGACATCCCGTTACAGATGGTTGTGAGCCACCATGTGGCTGCTGGGAATTGAACTTAGGACCTCTGGAAGAGCAGACAGTGCTCCCAACTGCTGAGCCATCTCTCCAGCCTCCCTCATGGCAAGTTTTAAGTTAGTCTGGTACACAGTGAGTTCCAGGCCAGCCAAGAATACACTACTGTCTCACAAAACAAAACTGAAGGAAATAGGGAAATGTTCCTACCTAGATCCCGTGCTGTCTTTTCTTGTCAGCACTGGCAGGCCTGTGTGATCTTGCCTGCCTTCTGACAGCAGCTTCAACCGCACCGTAGGAAAAGACACAGCATGAGGGTATGAGGGGCTGTGTGTCCAGCTTGTGTCCTGATGGGATGCCCACCACTGCCCTTCCATAGTATGTGTTGGCAAGTTACTTACAAAGTGTACTTTTAGGAACAAATGTGTTGTTTATTCAGCACGTAAGTTCTTTTCATCTGGCACTTTGGCCTAGGCTCTTGAAGCAGAATCTTGAGGTGAATAGTGAATGCATGGAAGAGATTCTGAGCCTGCACATGCCCGCTTGTTCCTGAGGAGCAGACTGAGACCATTGTTTCCACAACCCAGTGGTCAGGATCAAACTGTGATTACACAGAGGCAGATCCTTGAGGGGTGGGGTGGGATGTCCGATAAATCACTGTGGAAAGTGAAAGGTGTGGATTGCCCATTTCAACCAGTCACTTCCTCTTTGGAATCCCCTTGGCTTTTCGTCATCATAGCACTGGAATAGCGGGTGAGTTTGTACCTTGGGGGTCATTGAGCTCACACCCTGTGTTTTCTTCACCCACCCTCCCCACTGTGCAGAGTACATCCAGAAGTATGCAACAGAGGAGGCCCTGAAGGAACAGGAAGAGGGCACTGGCGACAGCTCATCGGAGAGTTCTATGTCTGACTTCTCAGAAGATGAGGCCCAGGACATGGAGTTGTAGTAGAAAAGACATCTGCTTTTCAGAAAGACTATTATTTCCTAACCATGAGAAGCAGACTCTAATATTCATATTTAAACAAAGCAATTTTTTTTATTACTAAACAAGGTTTTTATGAATAATAGCATTGATATATATATATTATATATCACCCTTTAGATCTTGATTTCTTGGTCATTTCTCAACCTGAGGTGCATAGCATATTCCCACATTCCATTTTGGTAGCAATATGCGGTCCGAATGCATGCATTCATAAGTCCATTTGGCCAAGTCAGCCTGTGTGCTACTGAACTGTCAAGAGATTGCCGCTCTGATAGATAAACATGAGAAAAACAGGAAGAGTTCGCTTCTTTTTATTGATGGTTCCAAAGAAACAAACCAAATCTACCAGCTCTTGGATGAAGACAGCACAGTGCTTTCCCAGAGAGGGGAGGAAAGGGCTGAGATGTGTGCTGTGACAGCCTGTGAAGTTACTCTGTCCTTGTCAGCTGCTCCCTAGTTCTCAGTGGCCATTGGCAAGGAGCAGCGTGAGACAGAGTTGAGTGAGAAGTGAGACTTGGGTCTTTCGGTTTTTTTGACTCAGATTTAAGTGCATTTTTCTAAGTAGATTCCTGCTCTCTGTGCTACCGGACCTGTGGCCCCATTGGTTTTTCCTTGGAGAACATTTGGGAAACATTTTCTGAACCCACTTCCTTTTGGGTGTGCACAGCTTGTCATCCAGCAGAGCTTTTTGAGAGGACAGGACTGGAGGAGAAAAGTGACTGGAAGACGCAGAGTGACATCTCGCCATGGCCTGGGCCTGTTGGAGACCATTGCCCTGGGCTGAGCTGTGAAACTGAAAGCAGTTTGGTTTGGTTTTTTGGTTTTCTTTTTTTTTCTTTCTTTTTTTTTTTTAATTTTAATTTTTTTTATTTGTGTGAATTGTACTTAGACAGGTTACAGATTTAATTTTCACCTACCAAGAGACCGTCTTCTCCCTGGACAAGGCGCTCAGTGGACCATCAGATGGAGGAAGACTGGCCTCGTCACTTGAGCTCCTGCGCGACCCTTGAACTCCAGCCTTAGGTTTCCTCCTGGAAGCTGCCAACTGCTTATGGGAGTGGGTAGTGTGGGTATTTGAGACCCAAAACATCCTAAATTTGCAATGGGTAACAGTGGAAACAGAAGTTTTTGTCCCAGAGTGGCTCGAGGTGGGGAAGAACCACTTTCGTAAATTTTTAGGGAGGCAGGGTGAGGGGACAACACTTTGTCCCTCTGTGGTAACAGCCAGTCAGACAGCTGGAAGTGCCTGGCCTGCTGCCACCAGCTGACTGCCATCAGAGTGCCCAGCAGTTTCAGACCTGACTCTGGAGGGAGTTTGGAGACAGTTTAGATAGCAGCTCCGCTCTGTATTCTTTTTGCCGAAACCAGAACAGTAGAGTAGCCAATCGTAAGACCTTCTGAAGACATTTTGAATGTCCCACTGGACTAACCTTTCTTTTGATGTGTGTTTTTAGTTTAGAAGTGCTATATTCCACAAGGGTTAAGTCAATGAGGTTGGAAGACACCTATCTTTTTTTTTTTTAATTCAAAAAGCACAATCAGTCTTTCCTTTGAAAATCTATATAAAATACAACTTTTAGCATGATTATTTTCCTAAATAAAAAGACAAATAATTTACTTATTTTATGTTAATTACGGGCATGAAGCAAAAGGTTTCTTTGGGGAAAATGCAGTTCTGTGGTGCTGGGGTTGGCTCACTGTATGTCCTGGCGCCCTGGCGTGTTAGGTGGCTTTAGCTGTGTGCCATGTAACTGCTTCCCTGGCGCCGTCTCTGCTGTTGTGGTTAGGAGGGTTTCTGCTGGGAGGGTTTCTGCTGGCACTTGCAGCTCGCTTCCCTGCAGGTCAGCCTTTGTTCATGCTGTAGCCTACATGTGGGTGCTACCCAGGGCAGGCTTGGACTGCTGGGTGGTGATTGTGAGTTCAGACAATAAAAAAAAAAATGTATTTTTTTCGATACTGTATAAAAATAGTATTCTGATTACCTCCCCCTCAATAAAAAAAAGTCCAGATAATTGCTTTTGATGTTGATGAAAAAAAAATACAAAACAAACCCAACAAAACAGAGCCAAGTTTGGGGAACGGGTGTGAGCAGCTGTGACTCCTGACCCTAACCGGGACCCACTTTGCTCCGATGAAGAGACACCATTCCTTCCCATGCCTCTGCACGACATGAGTGCAGAGTGTGTCCGTGCAGACATGCTGAGCTGTCACTGGGCTCTGCAGCACTGGAGTTCCCATGACTGCCCAGGTCACTCCACCCTCGACTTTGCCTCGACTTTGTGGCACCAATTCTGGTTCTGTGCATGTTGCAGCTCTCTGGGCCTTGACTCTGTTAGAAAGTTTGCAAGCTTTCTGGCCCTTCCCTGCTCCTAGTTACTAGGTGACCATACCTAATTGCAAAGGACCAGAAAGAAAGCCCGGCTGTGGCTAAGGACTGGTCCCCACGGTAAATAGACAAGATCTGCAGCGGGGCTGCTTTAACACCAAGCCCCTGTGGAGCTGCTGCTGCCATCTGCTCACCCTTTAGCTCCCGTTTTTTGAGGTCCTGCCTTGTGCTTTACTAGTGGAAGTCATCCTTTGCCCCTGTTGATGACTTGAGCTCTTGCCAAACACCGACAAGCAGAGTGGCTGCAGCATGGCAGCCCAAACCTGCCACGTTCCTGTGCCCCTGGACACCTAGCTCCGGAGCCAGTGGGCTGGGTTCCGTGGTTGCCAACCTAGACCCTGGCATTTGACATTTTTTTGTCGGCAGTCTCCGCCCTCTTGAGAGTGCCGAGCAGCTTCAACAAGCATTTCTATTAGCAAGTTCTCAGAAGGTGCAGCGTCTCTCCAGCACTGATGTGTTTTGTCCACTTCAAACGCTGTTCTAATTGCCAACCGGCTGATCTAGGCTCCTGAGGAGTGTCTCTTCTCAGAGGAACTGTGCCCTGAAAGGGCTCCCCAAAGTTCTAGGTGGCCTTGACCTGATACTTGCATTTTCTAGGCCACCTGTTGGGGTGGCTAAGAATCATGACAGATCCTCTGCCAGTTTCTAGTCTCTCTGAGTCAGGTTTCTGAGTACTGGCATTGGATTTTAAATGGCATGTGACCCTCCTATGTTTTAGTGACTCAGAAAAGTGAAGCCATTTGCAAAAGTTAGTTTGTTTTGTCAACTTCTAACTGGGTCATAGCCTTGCTGAGTGAAACCAACTCATTTCTGATTGGGCACAAAGAACTGCATTCTTTGGACTTCTGAACCCATGCTCACCTTCCTCTGGCCACTGAACACCTTGGCCAGCTCTTTAGGAACTGGATGGAGTGATAGCCCTTGGGGGCCGTGGGTATGCGGCTTTCCACTCTCCTGAGGAGTGGCCAGGGCCCTTGGTTTAAGCAATTCCTCGGCTGTGGGTGTGGGAAGAAATGGCCTTTAATTACTGATTGTATTTGGTACACATTGTGTGATACTTGAAGAGATAAAAGGGACTTACCAGCCCTTAATTGAAATCTAAGCTTTTTACCGCTTTCCCCTCCTCGCCCTATCTCTTCCCTTCCGCCTTCCTTGCATTGTGATGATCTAGTGGGCATGTCTGTCACCTGGACAAATGCCTCCTCTGACTATAACCTCTTAATAGTTGTGTATAATGAAAACTGTAAACTTTTTTAAATAAAATGTGTATATACCTTGGCAAATGGCTGAACTTGATCAATCAGAGCTGCCCCCACACACCCAACAAGACAAAGAACAAATCAGAGTGTGTCACTCTCTGGCAGCAATAACCAAAGGGGCCCACCCACAGATGGATGGCTGAGGTGTGAGCATCACAGCCGTCCCTGCAAAGCCTAGAGGGGTCTCACCATCCTGTGTGAGGATCAGACCTTAGTCTGAACTTGATGGTCAGGGTCTGGACAGGAGCCTGTATGCCCAGTGATAACTTGGCCTTTCCTGAGGAACCAAAGGCTGCCTCACACCAGCCTTTCAGTTCCGTTATAGCTCGCATGCACTAGCCAGCCAGCAGGTGGCAATGGCATCCAGACCTGAAACAAGGATTTCCTGGACTGGTCGGTTCCAGTGTTTTATTGTTAACCAGGCATAATGATGCTGTCTCCAGCGGCCTATCCTCTTCATAACTGCCTGTTAAGAGAAATTTGGCAAGGGGAAGGGGGTAAGCACCAGACGCCTAAAACCGTTCCTTGAATGAGGTATGGCAACAAGGCAGTCCTGAAACAGTAGTTGAACAGCTGATCCTCACTAGCCCCTTAAACCTAAAGAACTAACCTCACTAACCTAAAGAACTGGAAGCCAGAGCTCTCGAGTCCAGTCTCTGTAGGAGCTGGTCTACCTCAGTTCCAGCCCCTGCACCCTTCAGGCCCTTGGTGAAGTCTGGACTAGTGGCTTCTGGCACTCAACTCCATGCAGACCTGAATCAATACCATAGCAGTACTATCAAAGGCTACTGTGGGATCCTCCACCAGGAACACTAAGGTTTTAATACAGGTTTGGAGTTTTTAGACCCAAGAGGCTTTGGGAGTTCACAGAACCCATTTTTGATTGAACAAGGAAATATGGGTCACACCCCTTCCCACCAGTGACCTCTACCCTCAGCAGCCCCTGGGTGTCTAAAGCTGGTCCTGCTTTCCTGAGGCTTAGCTCCTTTTTCAGGAGAAGGGGTTTTTAAAGTTTGTGGTTTTAGAAAATTGGAGTCCCAGAAGTTGCACTTTACCAATTTCCCTCCGTCTGAAGGCCAACAGACCCTAGGGGTTGAGCTGCTAAAACACTGGATCTCGGGTTACCTTATCCACCAGGGAAGGAAGACAAGGTTTAGAATACCCACAACTCCTAGACCCACCAAACCCAAGATAGTTCACTGGCTGAGGCTGGGTTTCCAGGGATACATAGAACCTCTGGGAAGGGAAAGGTTATCCAACCCCTCGAGTATTTAAAGTTACCTCAGAGGAGTGTTCCCTCTAGTTCAGGGTTGCTTGCCTGTCTGTGGTGATGAATATACATATACACATGTATATTATTTTTCATACATATATGTGTATGTATATATACATGTATATGTATGTGTGTGTGTGTGTGTACACACAGTTTTTTGAGGCCATAAGAGGTGACAGGGACAGATTTGCACTTTGAATATCCTATTGTCATGAGTCAGGAGAGAGAGTGCTAGAAGGCAGACATGGTATGACCTTCCTAGGTCCCTGGCACCTTAGCCCACAAACATAGGGCACACAGCTCCAGTACTCTGGCAACCTGGCTCCCGTTTTTATGAAGTCCATGGGTATATATTTGAAAAGATTGGAATGATGTTTTTTAAAGATGCCCTTCTGGGTCAGGAATGGTGGTATATACCATTAATTCTCTGACTCACTCAATGAACAGAAGCAGGTGGATCCCAGCACAAAGTAAGCCTGCTGTACATAGAGAGTTCCAGGGCCAGACCCTCCCTCAACAAAATAAAACAAAACCCAAGAAACCCTTCTGCAGATTTCAAAAGAGATCTGTGCTGGTAGCATCAGGTGATGTGTCCTGCTGTAAATGCCTTCCTCAAACCTGTGGTCCCAACTCCCTTAGGGATCAAATGACCTTTTCACGAAGGTCAGAAAACAGATATTTATGATTCCTAACAGCAAAATTAATTATGAAATAGCAATGAAAATAATTTTATGACCGGGGATAACCACAAACCGAGGAATTGTATTAAAGGGTCACAGCATTAGGAAGGTTGAGAACCACTGCTCTGGAGAGCTCTGTATACAGAAAGCTCTGCTGTCTTAGGATTCCACTGTGAGCCGGGCCATGGTGGCACACTCCTTTAATCCCAGCACTTGGGAGGCAGAGGCAGGCGGATTTCTGAGTTCGAGGCCAGCCTGGTCTACAGAGTGAGTTCCAGGATAGCCAGGGCTACACAGAGAAACCCTGTCTCAGAAACCGCCCCCTCCAAAAAAAGGATTCCATTGTGAACACCCCAGTGAGTAGATCAGCCCTGTCTTGGGGCCAGAACTGAGAGACATGATACCATGCCGGATCCTAGGGCTTCAGCCTCTGTGAGCTTACAACCTCACGCTGGTCCAAGTGCAGCACCCACTGGAGCCTTCTGCCATCTGGGACCCAGTCAGATATACCTTAAGTGACCAGCTCAGGTATCAGTTCCCATAGTCTTGGTCCAGATCTGAGAGTCAGGACTTGTCCCCCAACACACCCTATTTCCACTAATGGCAGTGTCCCCAATGTTTCTGAGGCCTTCAGTAGAGACAAAAATAAAAATCAACTGTAAAGCCAGATGTAGTTCAGTGATAGGAACCTGTGTGGGAGACCCTGGGCCAATACATAAAAACTGATTGGGAATTCACTCTCTAGAGCAGAAATAGAGAACGCCATCTCCATAGGTAATTTCAAATGTTCTATTCTTGTAGGTGGCAGTACACACCTTTAATCCCAGCACTTAGGATGCAGGGTTTGAGAACAGTCAGGGCTACATAGAAAGTCCCTGCCTCAAAAAAAACAAAACGGAAAACAAAAAAAAAAACAAAAAAAACCAACTTTCTAGTGATTACTTTTTTTTTCATTTTTTTTATTCATTAATCATTTTATTTGTTTACATTTCAAATGTTATCCCTCTTCCAGGCCTCCCCTCCACACCCCACCCCTCCCCTTTGCCTCTAAGAAGGTGCTCCCCCACCCACTCCCACTTCACCCCTCTAGCATCCGCCTCCTCTGGAGCATCGAGCCTGCACAGGGCCAAGCTCCTCCCCTCCCACTGATGCCAGATGAGGCCATCCTCTGCTACACATGCATCTAGAGTCATGGGTCCCTCCATGTGTACTCTTTGGTTGGTGGTTTAGTCTCTGTAAGCTCTGGGGTGGTCTGGTTAGTTGATATTGTTGTTCTTCCTATGGGGTTGGCATCTCCTTCAGCTCCTTCAGTCCTTCTCCTAACTCTTCCACTGGGGTCCCTGAGCTCAATCTGTTAGCTGTGAGTATCTGCATCTGTCTTAGTCAGGTGCTGGCAGAGCCTCTCAGAGGACAGCCATACCTGGCTCCTACCTGTAAGCACATCATGGCATCAGCAATAGTGTCGGGGGTTGGTGTCTGCAGATGGAGTGGATTGCACAGTGGGGCGGTCTCTGAAGGGCCTTCCCTTCAGCCTCTGCTCCATTTCTGTCCCTGCCTTTCCTTTAGACAAGAACAATACCGTTTTAAAAAAGATAATAGTAGGGTTTTATTTAACTCAATACTACCTGTTTGCTGAACAAGTGATACTTAAAAGTTAATGAGTTATTTTTCACTTTAGTGATGGTAACAACACTTTAGTCTGGTTTATAGATAGTCCAGTCCTGTCAACACGGATGCTAATTTCTCAGAGCTCAAAGGCATAGCCAGTCTCTGGTAGTGAGTGCTGAGGAGGCTGAGGAGGCTGAGTTGAAAGTCACCTTGGCCAATCCTATCTCCAAAGATGAAGTGTTTCAGGAGGCTGGAGAGATGGCTCAGTGATTAAGAGCACTGGCTGCTCTTCCAGAGGTCCAGAGTCCTGTTCTCAGCACCCACATGGTGACTCACAGCCACCCATTACTACAGTTCCAGGAGATCTATGCCTTCTTCTAACCTCCACCTGCACCAGGCACACAAATAAATAGTGCACATACATGCACAAGCAAAGGCATTCATGCACAAAATAGAATCTAAATACAATGTTTGTTTGTTTGTTTGTTTGTTTATTTGGAGATAGAGTTTTTCTGCCTAGTCTTGGCTCTTCTGGAATTCTAACTGTAGACCAGGCTGGCCTTGAACTCTCAGAGATCCGCCTGCCTCTGTCTCTCAGAAGTTTTGTTATTGTTTTACCAGAACAAAGTTTTGCAGACAAATGTACAGTGCTTATTTTAAGATCTAATTAAGGGGCTGGTGAGATGGCTCAGCGGTTAAGAGCACTGACTGCTCTTCTAGAGGTCATGAGTTCAAATCCCAGCAACCACATGGTGGCTCACGACCATCTACAATGAGATCGATGCCCTCATATGGGTGTCTGAAGACAGCTACAGTGTACTTACATATAATAAATAAATAAATCTTTAAAAAAAAAAAAAGATCTAATTAAGGAGTATGTACCGTGAAAAAAAAAAATGCAGTGCCCTCCCAGAGACAAAGTGCGAAGCGGGGAGAGAAGGGGTGAAAAAGAAAGAAGTTTATGCTCAGTACCGGGAAGCGCCTCCCACCCACCCGCTGCTGAATGGAGGAGGCACATCCAGGAAGCATCTGACTGCTACTGGAGTTTTTCTGTATAGAAAGCAAATCCCAGAGCCTAGGAATATTCGGGGGTAATGGAAGTACCAGGCAGAGGGACCAGAAGATCGCGGGGTGGGGAGCTCTGCGGCTACACCTGGCTGCCCTCTCAGCCTCATCCCCCGGGAGGGGAGGGAGGTGACTTCCAGGATCCGAGGTCACCAGGGCCCCGCCCTTCTGGAGAGTTTTTAGACAGCTGAGACCTCCCGCGGGGACAGATGCTGTGACCCTTGAGCTGCTGAGGCACCACCTGCTTCCCTGAGAGGCACTCCTCGGTTCTGCCACCAGGGGGCGCGCGGGGCTCGTACTGCTCCAGGCTCCGCGCCTCGCGAGGGAGAGCCTGGCTGGTGGCACAAACCATCCCCATTCTGTGACTATCACACCTGTCCTCTGCGCGCAAGACCCCT